AAATAAAATAAAACTAGAATTAATAGTCTTGTTTTCAAATATGTCATAAGATTAAATAAATTATTATGTAACTGTGTTTCCTGAACTCTTTCTATTGGATGAATATAATTGAAACAGATCGTGGATCACGGATTATATCAAGCAAAAATTGTGCGCAGCTCATCTCTAAATTGCCATCTGAAAAAATGGATACCTCGATGGTTTATTTATTTATACGAGAGTATAGAAATGTCTTGCTTTTCGACCGAGTGTTCTTACAGCAACCACGTATGCATGTACATACATACATACATACATATGTATGTGCACATATGTATATAAATGTACAAATGTTTATGGATGAAATCGATAATTTGGTTTAATAAGAACAGCAGTCGGAATTTTTGTTATCGATGTAAACTTATCGATTTTTTACGTGTACGACGATTACAAGAAGAGGGTGGGTGAAGAATATCGACTCTTGCAGCGAAGCGAGTTTCCAGGGGGCTTGCTCCATGGAACAAGAATATGTTGAAAATGGTGGAAAGAAGAGACTGTGGCATACAGAATTGAATAGGTATTATTATATCCGTCGAGTAATTTTAAACCCAACGAGTAGATGAAGCAGACCACGAAATGATGCATCGAATTTGCTGGTATTTCTTAATTTAGCCTAGTGCTATGTTGTAGGCTCAAGGTAGGCCATGTTGCCACGAATAGCTGTTGAGTTGTCCCTCTGTAGATCTATTCGAGGTAACGAGCCGCGGCTCTACTTTTACGGCTGATACTCTGTATCTACCGACATACAAACACATGTACATAAATGTGTACAGTAATTATGTACATATGTATCTAAATGGACATTTATTTGTATGTCAAACTTACACCAAAAAGTAAAATTATTTGGTTCATTGTAGCTTTAGTAGTTCTCTACGAAACTGTATTTTTGAGATTCTCTCAAACAGTGTGATGTCACAGAAGTCTAGGTGCACAAGAAGACGGCAATATGTATGTACACATACGGATAGACAGAAATGTCAAACAAGAAACAAATGTGTGTACATATGTACATATATACTTTATAGGGTCAGAAACGTCACAAAACTAAGTCAAGAAGTGCCTGATAGCCCCCCGAAATATCTCTTTTCCGCGTGGGAAAGATACTTGGCAATGAAGCATGAGAACTCCTTGCTGTGGCTTATAGCTGCAAAACAAAATAAGCAAACCATATTCTATATTAAATCTGTTTGGGATATTTAGTGTGGTTTATCATAGCTTATTTGGCAAAGATATTTTCAAAGTTTCTGAATAGACATGAAGACGAGCTCAGGTAAGCTACATCATAGCATGAACATTCGAATTACATTTACATTCGTACATACAAATGTATGTAGATGTAAATGTAAAAATATATATGCGCACCACGTTGTGCGCTTTTATGCTATTTCCAGCCAATAGCTCAATGGATATCCACGTTCCTCTCAAAACAATTAAATTGCGGCTTGCAACACCGCTACAGGAAACATTTAAGCAATGGGCTTAAAAAGCATCTAAAATACAGCCTAATTAAAGTTAAAATCCCTGATCTTAAGGGAAGGAATGGCAAAGAAAAAAGGGAAGAAGAAAACTTTTAGTGGGTGATATGGTTTCCAGTCTCAACTCTTAGCGTCTTCCAATGCCATACAGAAAACACAATTAAAACCAATTCAAAGTAAATGTATAGTCAAAAGAAAATAATGTAAATTCTTTATTTTGCATAATTTTACTTTATGTAAATAATTATTGTATGTATTATGTTTTCTTAGACATTTTTTCCTAATTCTTTTAATCTGAAGTTAAATAGAATGCACTGAATTTTCAATCAATAATTTATATTGTCCGATACTTTCGATACTCAAACAGTAGATTCGTACAATAAATTATAAATTATATATAATATACAAATTATATAGTATAATATTTTGTTAGTAGTATTTTTCTAACAAGCTTTCGTAGAGCCAACTGTAACCAATGAATGGTATCTTGGTCCGAACCGTAGTTAATTTATTTAAACACACATATTTAAAATATTTTGTAATATTGAAGTGTTTAAATTAAAATAAATACTATTTAATTTCTCTGTGTTTATTTTGATATATTTATTTATCATTTTGGCAAGAATTTTGTATCTTAGTTAAGGGCACACAAATTAAGTACTTAGAGAAAATATTGAAGCATATTTTAATTAGTAATAGCTTCATGAAGCGAGAAAGCTTAATTGCGCTTAAAATGTTTAGAGATTATTATTTTTATTTGAAAATGAAAAGTTTCCAAAAATGAATCTTAATTGAAAGGTACTAGTCACTATTCTCCACGCTGTCTGTACTGGATCTGTGTATTGACACCTAAAACTAACTATCATCCGCACCATTGGTTAAAGGGCCCATTAGGAGTTTAGTTCAATATTACAATATAATGTTTGTTTTCTTAATTACCTTTCCAGTCGATCATAAAAGTAAACCCAACACTCTCGAGTTTGTTTAAATTTTATTCAACCCCTAAAAGGGGGTGGAAAACAGATTTGGGCCCATGTTGAAAATGTACCCCCGGATACATAGAATTGTATGTGTGTATGCATAGACATGTACATTTGTACATACATACTCGTATAGCATTGATCACAAACACACTTGTAAATATGTATACGCATGAATTTGAATAAGCTTTCATCGATGCGAAGGGAAGTTTCCCAACACCAGAGAATACACCCTGCTATATAAACATTGGCTTTTCCGAAGGTTCACAGATTGGGATATAGAGTGCTTCGTTCGACTCGGTGTGGCTGGGTGTTCGGTTCAGCCCGGTTCAGATGTTTTTTACTTTATGTACACGCAGATGCTTTCACCCATCAAACAGGAGTGGGTTGCTTATGTCTCGATTGGATTGGGGTTGGACTGGTCAGTGGGTGGTTGAGTCTGTCGAAGCGAGCAACCACCGAACCTGAAATTGTAGTTTTAAACTATTCTCAGTGATGCGCACTTTGAAATTTGAAATAAAAGCTAATTTTAGTCAGGGCGGCTTACAGAAAAGGCATTTTAAACTGTGTATGGAATTGAACAAAAATTCTTTGTAGCTTTCGTGCACTTCTGTCCAATGATGGGGCTTTCGATCAAAGAATGCAATCTTAATATGAACATTAAGGTAGAGATATCTTAGATCTGGTTTGATGCAGAAACCGACAAAGTCACACCAAAATTGTTCCTTCAATGGGTATCTGAGGGAAAATGTTCTTTAAGAAACTTTTAACCAAATATCCATATAACCATAACCATAACCACAATATCTTAACCATACACATAGTTTCGTTTAATTAATGCTTCTGTATACAATGGGATCTAAGGTTGTTCCCGCCAGTTTATTACTGAAAAAAGTATTACTTATCTTATTGAAATTGAATAACATCTTTAAAAATACTTGCATAGAAGTATGTACATACACTTTTACTGTGGATTACGCAGTGTAGAGCAATGATACAATTCTGTAGAGACATTCGCACTCGGGACATCGAAATGGAAGCTATACCAACCTGATCCCCGATAGTAATATTCTGTATGGCCTGTACATTAACAATGTCGGGAAAATCTTCGTAACTAACTCGGAGCTTCTCCAATCGATGAATTTCTTTTTGTTCCCTCCTCAAATGTATGTATTTTGTTTTAATTAATCTTAGCTGGAACTCATTCCGAGGAATCTGAATCTAATTCGAGGCATATGCGGGGTAATGGTTAATTCTTGTCGCAGCAGTGGATTGCAAAGAATAAATATGTACGATATGTTCCCAATTCAACACAATTCGATCTGGTAATCAAAAGATAAGCGTGCGAGAGATGCCTGGCATCTGAACCCCAAAACCCCATACATACACATGAAGTACATATTCATATGTACATCTGTATATATGTATGCATGGTAGTGTTGTAGTCGTTGGTGGTGGTGGGTAGAAGTTAATGGGGAACGGGGAATCAGGGATGAGCGAAATGTAGAAAGAATAACAATCAAATGATTACAGCAACAACCACACCACCGCGATGGGAAACTGGAATCCAAAATTGACTCGTCGCCAGCGTCAGGTTCAGTCTTAGCCTCAGCCCCGGCCCTGGTCCCAGCCCGTCATCGTCCACGACCTCAGCGTCAACGGCAGCGAGAGATGACGGCGTCGACGGAGCGGCAGGGACTTGTTTGGCACATAAAGATACAAATGTATCTGTGGCAGACAGCAAATGGCGTATATAAAATGATTAGACATGTGTCAGTGTGTGCGCGCGCTCGCACAAGTCCGTGGGTCTGTGTGTGTGTTTGTGTGTGAGCCACAGCGCTCGGGTGGTTGTTTTGCCGCCGATGGCCAGCGAGAGGAAGCGAGATGGCTGCCTGTGGAAGGGAGAGGCCAGATACTCGCGCGTTTTATGGCCGCTGCTCCTCTTGCTTGGCTTTTCATCTTTTGGCATTGGGTCGTTGCTGGTCTGGTGCTGGCTCTCTGCTCAGTGCTCACCGCTCACCGCTCGTTGCCTCCACGCATTCCCCTTCCCATTACCATTCTCGAAAGTGTTGCCATCGCATCGTCTCTGCCTCAGCCTCTGCCGCAGCCCAGTCTCTGCTGCTGCGGGTTTACGACCTTCTTGTTGGTTGCCATGTCCGCCTCGCATCCTCGTCCTCGTCCTCGTCCTCGGGCACATCTCAGAGCAGCACGCAAGCGAACTGGAGGCGACGACGACACAACCACCGCCGACGACACCTTTACCCTGCCTCTGCCCTTGTCGCTGCACCTTCACACGGCCGGGGACACGATTCGGCATGTATCTATACTCGTATCTGTATCTGTAGCTGGCTCCGGTCGACGATGTTGGCTTCACCATATTCTCATTCCCATTCCCATTCCCATTCGTGTTCTCGTTCGCCCGTTCTGTTGCTCTGCGCTTCGTTCACGTCTCGTCTCGTCTCGTCTCGAATCGTCCGACGCCGGCGCGCTGCCGCTGCCTCAGTCTCTGCCGCGGCGAGTGCCACTGCAACTGAACCGCCGCCTTGTGTCAAAGTGAACAGCAAATATTATTTTTTGGACACTTTGCTATCAGGTCGACGCCGCGTCGCCCAGAGCCAGGAGGCGTCCTGCTCCTCGATTGATATCAGCCTAAGCCGAGGCAAATGACCCGGCCGTGTCGATGTTCAGTGCCTGCTCCTGCCGCAACGCAAGCTCCAGTTCCAGCTCAAACTCCAACTCCAGGTGGCAGTCGCTCTGTCTTGACCGGACCTGACCGGGATCCATTGTTCGCAGCTCAGTCTTTTGTGCCAGTTGTCGCATTCGGGGCTTGGATCCGTGGCCATGTCTGCCGTCCGACATCGGGCCATTGTCTGCGGCGGCCATTGAAACGGAGAGTGGTTCCAATTGTGTATAATTGAATATCGGGAAAGAACTCGACACAACACAAAATGAGAGAAATAAAAGAGGAAAAGGAACAAACTGGTTGTAAATCAACTCGAGCCGGTTCGGGGTCGTTTGTTGCCAAAAATACAAGAATTAATTATAATAATGACAAAGAACAAGCGCTTCGACCTCGCCCCTATTCCGATTGCGATACCGACTCTCACTACGTCCCCATCATCCGCCATCTTCATCCTCGCGTCCGTTTCGGTGTCCGTGACTCTAGATGGCCCCCGCCGAGCGCGTTCGGGGGCTAATTGTGAATGTGGATTACAATTTCGCGTGTGCGTCTCCAGTCCGAGGCGAAGAAAGAAAAGCCAGAAAAATGAATTTAACAATATTTCCTCCACGGAGTGCTCTTGCTTTGGACTCTTTGGTCGGCCGTCCCCATTCTGTAGTGGCGTCCACTGCAGTGGAGGTGGAATCGGAGACGCAGACGGAGCCGCGCGCCAGGCCCGTTCCTGGACGAACATCTCGCGCTTGGCCGGCCTCTCGTGTTCGCTGGGCGTGACTTCAATTAAAGTGATTTGTGGCCTCCGTTTTTGACATTCGAGACTTAAATAGTAAGCCTGATTCATGGGGCAGCTAAAGTATTTTTGCACACCGTCCCCGACCCAACAAAGTCGCCCTGTCACGCACTGAGCCACGAAGTCGCCTCTCAGGGGGCTGATTGAATTGGGCACCCCGTCTGGTGAGTACATCTGAAACAATTACCAAAGTTTGAGCATAGTTTTCAGATGAAACAATTGCCTCTGCCCGTGTTGCTAGCAGTCAAATATGATCCAATTATATATCGTCTTATCATTTTGGTTATCCCAATCGGAAAGAAGCATATCCACATTTGCATTACATAAAATATACAATACCGAATCGAGATACTCAAAATATGAATATTTATAGGTGGTATAAAGTGCGCTGACCGCCACAAACTATTTCCTGATGGGAATATTCTTGTGCTATTTCGTTATAGACAAGAGTTTTTTATATCTGTAATTAAAATAGTATAGTCAGGTTCTATTTTAGCAAAAGGTTTGATAACGATTAGAGGAACATTTTAACATTTTAGTCCTTCTCACAATTATGAATATAAAAATATAAAAATATAAAAGTCCGTTGGACGAAGTGTTACAAGAGTTCTCGCTTTAAAGAAATTGTTTCTGATTGGTTCACTCTTAAAAACAACCATAATTGGATATTAGTTCACTAGGTGATTAAACAAGAAGTTAGTTCCACTACAAATAATCAAAACTATTCATTAAATTCAAGAAATTCACATGTAGAATAAACATTAGACTGTTTGTAGTTTACTTCGACTACCTTTGGCCCTTACTTTTAAGAAGCATATTTTCTCTATTATTGAAATTGTTAGCTGTATCGGTAAAAACTGGTTTAATCGGAGTGGGACAGTCTCATCAGGGTCAGCTAATTAAAAAGGCTTCCCAGGCACACGCTGATTTTTGTGCTAAAAGCTCCGCTAATTCGGCGCCCATCTATAAATAGTAGCTTTGACTTTTAGCGTTCAAAGATAGATTTAAGCCCCGTTTATATTGAAGAGCTACTGATTTTGGTTGAATACATATGCATATATAGCACATGACACGTCTTTGTGGCCAACCAAATAAATTAGCTATGCAAAGATCAGATGATTCAGTCTACCATAGAAATAGAGGGGTTCAGTAGAAAAACTGAATAACAGAGCGACCTGTCTTGAGCCACATGAATATTTGGTTTTCGTTTGGCTTCGCAATCTCAAAAATCAGTTTTACACACAAATTCCGGAGGAATGTTATTTGAATATGGTGCAGGTAGAAAACGTTGCAAAGGGTTATGCTCGTACGAGTCCTCGCGATGATTTATGGAAGTGCAAGCAGAAGAGCTGCTTCCCATGAAGCCCGACGTGAAGGCACAGGGAGTGAGGTGACTTGACGCAACTTGCGACCGAAATCCGGACACAGGACGCACAGGACGCTGGTGGATTATGCTGATGACGATCCGGGTCAATTCAGTTCAGGTCAGTCCTGGCGAGGTTTGGGCCGGCGAAAGCGTGAAGGCGGGCGGCCCTTTATGGCCACTCATAAAGTGTTTACAGCAGCTCTGTCTTCAAAATATTTTGGCTCAAACAATGGACTGTCCGGGACCGTGGAGAATGCGCAGCAAGAGATCAGCAGATCGGGTTGTACCTCCCGTTAGGCAAGGAGAAACTAGATCGTTCTGCGATGATGTAACTGTAACATATGGCACTTCCTGCCCTCAGCCCGGGTCTGCGCGGGTCTTTGAGCCAATCAAACAACCAATGAATACATAAAAGGCATAATTGATGACGTGTAGAATGGTGTTCTGTCACAATTTAATTGCCCCTTTTGGGAGGGCAGAAATTCATACCATCCACCCACGAGTGGGGCAAATAGAGCGTGCTGAGACCATTTCCGAGCCCTCCCCAAATGGCGACAAAGATTAATGAGAATATGTTTCAGAAGAACATAAATACGATAATGTACATATCCGTGTACCTACACACATGCTGACACGCAGACATGGAGGCAATCGTGTCCGTCCCAGTCCCAGTCCCAGACTACTCTCATTAAAATTCAGAGCCAGAGCATCCATGGAGAGCTGCGCGATATGGCGGCATATGAGTTCTGTTCTGTCGTGTTCTGTTTGGTTGTGTTCCCAAATGCCGTCTTATCAGTTCCCTGGAATGGGCATGGGCACGGGTGAGCTCAGCTTAAAATAATGTAATTTATTCCGTCACTTTCATAAAATGAAACCAAACTCTCGGCAACAAAGCAAGACATTATCGCCGCATAATTAATGCCACATGTTGCAATGCAATAGCAGATGGGGGCCGCTGCAGCGAGACAATAAAATGGCGCGCCCGCTCTCGTCTTTTGAGGTAGAATGTCGCAGTTGACGCCTAGTCCTCGGCACCGAGAAAATATCATAAAGCCATTCGAATTTTAATTGCCCGACTAGAAAGCAACGACCAACGGCCCAGGGCCTTTCCACATTGAGCGCTCGTCATTTGCATAAATTTATCCAAATGGAAATCAGCGACGGAAAAGCCTGCTCCGCGCCTCAGCTCTGCGCAGTTCCTCTCCTCAATTCCCAGTCCAATGCCAGGTCCCCGGTCCCAAAACGCCCCAACGAAGCCACAGCCTTTTCCATGTCCGCTTTGTCTTCCATTTTCGTCTGCCATGCGTATGCGCATGCGCCGCTCTGCCGACAGGGGCCATTATGAAATGGGCGGAGCCAAAGTCGTTGCCACCAACTCCACGGCCATGGCTGTGGTGAGTTTCAGACTCTACCCTTGTCGCGTCGGCAGAACGTTGTGGAAAGAAAGCAGAGCCTTCAAGCAGGAGGTAAGTGGAAAAGGGGCTCAAGCGAAGGATGAGCGCCTAGATATCGCATATCCACGACCGTCTTTCGGTTCTGGGAACGTCAAGTACCCGCATGCCTGTTCGTCTGAAAATGGTTTCATATGAATTCGCTTTCTCATTGCTTATTTATGTATGTACATCTTTACACTAAAAGTTAAATCTGACACCTGCGAATGTCACTACGATGGTTGGCGACTTATGTCCATACGGTTACCCCGCGCCGGCACTGTTCTTACAAGCTGCGGTGTCAGATGTTGAAAGAATTCTTTTAAACGCCATTGACACATACTTACATACATATGTATGTATCGGACTCTACAAATAACATGAAAATAATGTGGAATTGTTGTTGCATTATTTTAAATTTCGTTGCAAAAGGTGTCGCCTTCATTAAGAAGTCAGGACAAATTTCTGTTATTTTGTGCTATGCAACTGAACTTAATGTGTCAATATTGCACTTAATTCAGTTTTATTATATAGTATTTGAGCCGATATTATCATATTTCAAAACATGTATTCTCAACGATTTCGATTAGCGACCAAATGCCGAGTATCTGTTTCTTGATTCCAAAATCCGACTCTCGATATCATGGGGAATGCAAGCCATTCAGACCGACAACGATTAGCACTCGGGCTATAATAGATGAGCGTTGATGATGACAGCAGCATGCCGTAGACTTGAGAGCGTCGGCTAGCGCAAAAGAGCTTGCTGCCAGCTGCTGCACCGAAAAACATGCCAGTTCGTTAAATATTGTTTAAAACGTGTGGCAGATTCTCTACTTTTAAAAATGTTGCACTTTTTAAATTAGAAACCCTCACTTCAATATTCCAAAAACTAAAAAAAAATACAACAATAAAAATTAGTATATTTAATACCCAGATCCAAGCTGTTGGCGTATTTCAAGATTAACCGATCTCTTCACTGAAAATATACACTTAATGGTTAATTTAATATTTAGTCCACGAACACTCGAGCCCATGTGTGCCATTTCTATATTTCTAATCAACGTCAACAGAACATTACCATTACTGCTGAAAAATACCCCAAAAGGATATTTTAGATGAACCTGGAAATGTCTTAAAAATAGTTTTGAAAGTGGTGAAGTGAAATATATAATTTTTGGTTTTTTTTTTGACCAGATCTTAAAAATGTATTTTTATTTACGTGAAATAATATAGCGTACAGAAAATAGTTATGAGTATTTCATTCGTTTTTTGACTACGGTTTTTAAGTCATGACGGAAATCAATATCAATTCGCGCTTTCTCAAGCAATACTGATTGCAGTCCCTGGTAAATAGATCTTAGATTTCACTTAAATTCGCTTTTTTCAGTGTCTGAGATTTTTTGGTTAAACTAAGTATGGATGAGTAAAGTTAAAATGTTAAAATATGATATGTAGACTAAGTATTTAGTGAGCAGAAAACAATTCATTTCGGTGGCTTTGGTGCCTTTACTAACTAAGACTAAGGATTCGTGCCTGAAAGGTTTTGATTGGATTTTACATATTTTAAATTTACAGCTGAGTCATTAAGAAACGCTAAGTCATGTTCCCTGTGAATAAGATTTTGTATTTCTAGTTCAGTCGGTATTTCTAGTTAAATCCCAATCATCAACATATCCATATTTTATTTTTAACTGATAGGATCGTTACTTATTGGTGCAGTCACATATAAATTGCCGAGTTTTGTAGTGTTTATTAGATTGATTTTTGTGCGCCAAGAGTCCATAATTTCCAAAAAGATATGTTTGACCTCTTTTTCAGTTCTGTTTTAATTGTGGCCTGTTTTGGTTTCGAATGTGAAAATTTGACCCAAGTCCCACCGTGCGTTGACTCTACATGTATCTTACACACCCTGCCTAGCGACCTCTATCGCTGCTGATTGCGTGCCCTAGTTGGACTTTTTCAGGGCCAGATGGCGCCACCGAATGTTTTTTCTTCTGCTCTTCTTCCGTTCTCTTTCGATGGCATTGCAGAGAGAGCTCCCCAACACACCCACAAACTCCAGTTTGCAGCGGTATGTGTGAGTTTAATTTGAATTTGCTTGTGTTGGTTTGTGCTGGCAGCGATTCAACGTCTCCTCGGCGTTGTATTTCTGAACATTTCCAAGCAGAACATTTTACCGAAACACATTCCGAAACATTTTCAAAAATGGTGTGGAAAATAAATATTTCCGATGCGCGGATACGGCTCGAGAATACAGATTCCATCAAAGATGTCGGGGGGAGACTTCTCCATTTGGCAATTCAACAAAGCTTGAAACTATTTTTGTATGCCCCAGTCGAAGATTTAGTTAGGAGAGGATTTGACATTC